AACTTGTGCGAATGGTTTTAGATTTAACTCAAATATTAGACAATTAAGGCTGAACAGCTACCTATTCCTTGAAGTTGATTCTTAAAAAGAGGTGCAGAAGGGTTTGCCAGTATATTCTCAATTACTGTGTGTTGTCTAGCGGTGTTCTCATTTTAAACGGTGAACAACAGTGGAATTAATGCTTCTCTCCTGGGCTAGCGCTAAAAGAGCAATAAGGAGCATCCTGCTTGGGGGAAAACATCCCTTAGGGGGCATTGCGGATTTTTACTGACAGGCAGATGGCAATGGTGTGTAGGGACAGAAGCTTTTGTGAAGCAAAGCACCACAGCAGATGTTGGTAGGAAGGTGAGAATAGAAGAGAAAATAGTCCGGGATTTTTTTTTCAAACTCGGCAATTTAAAGATGAATGGACTTCCATTCCTAGAATTCAACTCCTGGCTAGGTCTTTCGTAGTCAATTATACACAACCCAGTCTTTATTAAAGAAGCCATTTTAATCAACATGACAATACATGCCTACTTTCAAAATACGATTTTAAAAAGAAGATTGTTCATTTGCCTTTCTTTTACAAATACTATGTGAATTCTTAGTGGGATTTCTCTCAAGTTGAATAGATAAAATATATATTTGTTTCTTCCCCCTTTTTATTATGTTGTTATAAATCTTAGCAACTGTGTTCTTTTGTATGCTGATGTTTGCGTAACAAGTTTACACATTACTGCATTAACATTAAATAACTTAGAACATTGAGAATAGGGGGGGGAAATCAATCAATGTCACTATTTAGCATTGCCACGCGCGCACGGAAAAAGTACACAAAGCAAATTTAACAAGAATTCATTATTGTACCTCGAAGCTATATATATATATATATATATTAAAAACTTTCCCTGAAAAATCACAATGGAAAAACAAACCATTAATATTACCGACCTAAAGAATTGAGTCAATTCCTGGTACTATGTATAGACAAATCCAGTTTTCCTGCGATACATAGAAACAGTTCCATTATTTTCCTACAGAGCAATTTTCTGCTTACAAATACAGCCAGCTGATCTAGGGACTATGTTCAGGGCCGAAAATTCATTTTAAGAAACCCTCGTCAACAAAATATTACGCAAGAAAATCCTTTTTTCTTGAAAAGAAGGACTAAAAGATTCAGGCGAAAACTCTGTAAGTAGTATTATGGGTAATTGAGGGGGGGGGAAACCCTCTTAAACCCTCAACTGGCCCTTTCCCATTCAAGATTCATGAAATCTCCACTCCGGCTTTTTCACTGCCTATCTCCCTTGCTGACCTAAAAAAAAAATAATCGAATTTTATCTTATTTTTTCCCCTTTCGTTGGACTCTTAAGATTCCAAAAATAAGATAAAATACGATTTTTTTCTCTAAGGCTTAGAGGGATTACTGGGTCGGAACTCTTAAGCCAGACGGAACGCTATTCCTACGGTCAAGGTTTCCGGAGGGAACTTAAAGGCAACCGGATCACCTATCGCATCCATTGCTTCGGGGCGTCCGACCTCGCGCCGTCGCTGATTGGCTGTTGGCCCCATAGCTCCGCCCGGCCTCTGGTTTGAAACGGTGCGTCTTGATTGGACGCAGCGGAGAAAAGGGGCGGGGAGAAGGTGTCCTTCCCACTTCCGGGTATGTGATAATGGTGATGGGGCTTGCAAGGTAGTTGGTATGAAACCGGAAAGGAGGGGATGAGTTGGTGGGGGAAGAATATATGTGGGGGGGGGGGTTCACAATTTTATAAATATGGGGAGCTGGTTATTTAAATCCGGGAATATGGGAAGAGCTGGAGGTGCTTTCCCCACTCTTGCATGTTTGGACATGTTGGGCATTGGATTGCAGTGCCCATCATCCACAGCCAGTGTAATAGCTGGATGGGGGGGTGGTTTTCTTTGGGGGGGGTTGTTTCATATTTAGCAAGAAAAATAAATTCAGAAGAAGGGTTGATGGAAGAGGGGTAGAGTTGTTTTCTCCACTTTTGCGTGTTTGGACATTGGATTGCAGTGCCCATCATCCACAGCCAGTGTAATAGTTGGATAGGGGGTGTTTTTATTTGGGGGTGGGTGGGTGTTTCAGATTTAGCAAGAAAAATAAATCTAGAAAGAGGGTAGATGGAAGATGGGTAGAGTAACTTTCCTGACTCTTCCATGTTGGGCATTGGATTGCGGTCCCCATCATCCACAGCCAGTGTAATAGTTGGATAGAGGGTTTTTTTTTACCTTTGGGGGCGTTTTTTCATATTTAGCAAGAAAAATAAATCCAGAAGGAGGGTTGATGGAAGAGGGGTAGAGTTGCTTTCCCGACTCTTCCATGTTGGGCATTGGATTGCAGTGCCCATCATCCACAGCCAATGTAATAGCTGGATAGAGAGTGGGTTTTTTTTGGGAGTGGGTGGGTGTTTCATATTTGAGAGCCGAGGTAGCGCAGTGGTTAAATGCAGCACTGCAGGCTACTTCAGCCGACTGCAGTTCAGCGGTTCAAATCTCACCGGCTCAGGGTTGACTCAGCCTTCCATCCTTCCGAGGTGGGTAAAATGAGGATCCGGATTGTTGTTGGGGG